TATGACCTATCGAAAGAGATTGCGGACTAATATGGCAGACTCTTATCTATATTATCATTACAAGGGGTGTGGGGTGAAAAAGCCAGTGTTAGGCGTAACTGGGTCTCATGAAATCCGCTCAAGATTACACGCCTCAAATATTTTTACATAAGCAAGCAAGAAATTGTGACAGTAAAGGGTTGATACGAAGATATATAATGGATGAATACCGGAGGATAGAAGGAAAGATACCACAACTGTTTAGCAGACTATTGGTCAAACGCTCAATTTCTCTTGTATTTCATGTGTTTTAGTTCGGCGTTAAAATTGACATGGTTTAGCGACGATGCTGAATATGATGCTGGCGAAGAGTCTGGCAATGTGCCAAGTCTATGGTCCGACTCTGGAAATTATCATGCATACTGTGGGGTCCGGATAAGGTGCTCTCTTGACAATATAACAAAGTCACAAAAACAAGGTCAGACATCTGCAATAAATTAGTTAGTTGACTGGGTCATCATGGCTTGGCTATTTAGTCTTGTCATCCAAATTTGCTAAAGGATTGCTATAAAATGATTGCTTTAGGAAGTGATTTCACATTTGTATTTTATTTGATCATCAGGTTGAGATCTGTGTTTGGGTATAATACGATTTTAATCCAGCAATTAATATAAAGTATTTGAGACCTACGAATCACTTTTTCGTGGACTTTCGTACGAAATGAAAGTCCCCCCAACAATGTTATATCAGGAGAATTATCGAAACCCAGTTTCTCGTCGTACCTATAGAGAATGATTAAGTTAGAATGTAGTCGGTCAAAGGCTAGGATTGTGAGATTGTTAAATAAGTCTGAGGCCATTTTCGAGGAGAATAAGTAATATAGGAAGCAATATAAAGAATTAAGTGACTTATTTGTTTCTTTTACCAAATAATCGTTAGTATAGTTCGATTTATTTTTATGGATGTATCTAGAAGCTACTTACCAAGTTGTTTGAGGTTGGCCTCTAACTGGCAACGAAGTCATTTATTCGAAATAAGAAATTATACAAAAGTGGGCAAGACCTATATGGTTAAATGTTACATAAATATAATAAATTTATATTATTTAAACTCTGTCAAAGCACGCACCTCTCGCGCAGTGCCTCATGCTTGAGGTCAACAAAAAGTGGAAGAGAGTCACGAAATTCACGCATATGTTCATCCAACGTTCGACCAACATTAAGAGATCGCACTTCTTTCGGAAGTCTGCGTAAATCTTTTAGGAAACGTTCCATGCCCTCCTGTAGAATTTGAATATTAAGATCCTTCCAGAGAGTATCGGACCAGGCCTCTCGAGCTTTCTGTTTTTAAACCAATAAAAGAGGTAGATCTAAGGAATACTATAATAGAGACTTTATATAAGGCGAACTTTGACATTTTTTATTATAATTAAATCCATACATTGTTAGAATGTATCTATAAATCCATACATTTCAACTACAATTTTAAGTGATATATTTCAAGGTACGTAAATTGAATTTGAGCAAGGGGATAAACAAAAAATAATACCTCCACTACCGTGCTTTATTTTGTGCAACAGCGAATCCTACAAAAGTTTGAAATCTAGCCACCTTGGTTTGAGTGAGTTCACTAATCTGAAGGTGATATTGGAGTTAGGATAGGATAACCTTTATTAAATCACCGTAGAGATCAATGTTCATTCATTAGTTTAAACAAATTCTGAAGCCAATGTTATTTAATTTGAC